ATCATATTATTGTTTTGTAATATGTCAGGGTTCCAAATAGGTGTACGTTTGCATGGGATTAATGAAGACTCCGTTATTTTTAGAAACTCCCACCATGCTGTCAGAGAAAAGCTGATGTTGATACTTTTAAAGCATTCATGTCTTTTGATGTTTGAGCTAATAAATGGTAGGTCTGAAATCTCTAGATCCTTGCATAGCTTAACAGATACTCTGACCCGTAACTATCGTAAAGCGCTTCGACTGGACGTAGACACCTTTCGCACATGCGGAGTACCGATCGGGTTTCCGGTACGGATCGGGTAGTGACAGTGACAACTACTGCACAGACTGTCTTCAACAACCACTAGGTGCATTATCGCCACCAACAGGTGGTGGTTAAAGTTTGAGCTCTCTGGGGTTTTGAATCGGTTTCAGATATCTGAGCTTTTGTGCTTCTTTCTTTAATCCAGTGTGTCTTCATGTGAGTGTCTCCTCTCCTCCAGTTTCTCCTGCATTGCTTTGAATCCTGAAAAACCATCTTCCTCCCCTTGCTGTTGACCTGCTTAAGCCTTCTCGCAAAATTATTCAATTTCCACCAAAATGAGCTGGTATCTAGGACAACATCTTCATTCACTTTCATAGCCTATACCTGTGACAGCTGCAGACTCCACCACCCCACAGCTCTGAACTGGATACATGCACATACATAGATAACTGGAGTTTGGGTTCAGATTTGTTGTCTCAGGATGATCCAGACTTGAGGTCCACACAGCTCTCTGAGGACTTGGTAGAAAACTGTGGCAGCATTCGTGTGATTGTTTGCTCCCTTAGCTCACGGTAAGAAGAAGACAGCTTCAACCGTCTGTGTGTTGACAAACTGGAACACACCTTCACCGCTTTTTCTTGCTAGTAACGGTGTTGTAATGGCAGAAAAAGCAATTAGTTAAGTTACTAGTCACTGAAAACAAGTACTGGTGTTAGTACCACTGTTTATTTTAATGCCATTATTCCCATCACTGCTCATGACCATAAATACATGTTGCAATTTTGGAGTCTATTAAAGCTGTAAGAGGGCAAGAGATAGGGTACACCCTGGTCAGATCCCCAGACTGAAAAGAAGAGGATCTTCAGGCCTGGAAATGGCTTGAGAAGGAAAATTTGTTTTTGCTTTTTGAAATAAAAATGTCTTTAGCTGCTTTCTACAGCTTCAGATACTGTAGAAATAGAGGAAGTGCATTCCACAGTCTCTGTGCAACAGATTGGAAAGATTGGTCCCTTCGAGTTCTGACACAAGTGTGGGGGACCACCAAAAGGTTTTGATTCCATGACCTCAGGTTATGAGAAGAGTTGTGTATACAAATCAAATCAGCAATAAAGGAAAGGGCTCTAAAGTTTAAAACTAGAATTTTAAAATGAAGCCAGTGTAGTGACTTTAAAACGGGAGTTATATGGGCTCCAATTGTCTCATTGCAGAGTTTTGCACAACCCGAAGATGAGCCAGCCCTTTCCTGTTGAGACAACTAAACAGACTATTGCAATAGTTGAGTCTTGTAGACAAAAGCATGGATATCATCTCAAGTTCACTCATTGACACCATTAATCTAGGTTTTGAGATGTTCCTTAAATGAACAAAGCGGGTTCTTACTGTCTTATTTAAATTTTGCTCCAAAGTAAAAGCTTAATCAAAAACAACACCCAATATCAGCCTGTTGTCTCGTCCCACAGCAGATTAAAATAATGACCTAGGAATTGAATTAGAAAAAAAATCAAATGTATTTTTAACATTACTCATTGTCCGAATAAAGATGAAATAAATAAGAATATTAAGTAATACAGATTAAAGTTCCAGTAGTATTTAAACAAAAAAAAAGTTTGCAAACAGGAAATTAAAAATGGTCTCTGGCGTACGTTTAAATAAAGATTCAAATTAAATCAAAAATATTTTATTTTCCAGTCCAAAACAAGTTCCCAACGTTTACAGATGATTCAGTTCATAAATTCACAATTGCATGTCGCCCTGGAGCTGGTCTCATCTTTAGGATGATGTTCCTAGCTGCTGATAACCATGCTAAAGCTCTGTCACGACTACAGCCATGTGAGACGTGCATGAGGCTCTTTACAGGATCATATATACAACTGTGCTTAATTACAGTAAAACTGAACAAAACAGAATTGTTGTATATCATGAGGTCTTTATGTCAATTACACAGTTTAACTGATTACATATATAGTTAAATACTTATGTGGTCCAACACGCAAATTTGGGGGATGGGGGGTGGACAAACAAACTAAGAGACAATGTCGCTTCTCTTGTTTTATAGTTTGCTGTCGCATTTCACTCGTTGGCTAACAAGACTGAAAAGCTATTCGCTTAGCAAGCATCATCCTGGGGTGTTTCTGACAGGGAAGCTCACATAAACATTACCAGGTACCAATGTGAGGCATTAATTTAACTTGACATCACAAGTCCAGGGTGCTGGTGTTGTGCCAAAGTTATGGTCTGCCAAAAACAGATGTCCAGTATTTGCCAAAAAGAGATTTTTATGTAAGTACATGTTTTTTGCACACTGGTAACAGTGAAACAGTTTATTTGCAGCGTAGGATCGTTTGTATTTGGAATATGAACGGAGATTCCTGAGGATTTTGTCACACTGGACACAGATGTAGCTATTGGTGTTAAGATGAGCTGAATGTGAGAAGCTTCTGTCACAGTGTCTACAGTTGTATGGTTTCTCTCCTGTGTGGATTTGTTCATGTCTCTTAAGCTGGCTAATAGTGGTGAAGGATGACCCACATTGGTCACAGACGTGCTTTTTAACCCCACTGTTACAGAGTTCGTGTTTTTTGTAATTCACTCAGTGTGGGAAAGGTTCTCTCACACTCTTTGCAGTAGTTCATTTTGTCTCCAGTGTGTCTACGCTGATGTATTTTCAGGCTTTCTGGTAATTGAAAGTTTTTCCACAAAGGTCACAGTGAAACTCTTTCCCACCACCACAGTGACGACAGGGTTGAGAATTGGATCCATCTGTGTCGTTCTGCTTCTAAACAAAGACACAAACACAGTAAGTCAGGGAATTCCTTCAACATTTTTATCCTGAACATCGCCTGAAACAAAGAGCATCTCCCAATTTAATGTATTTGATGTAGAGGAACAGCAACAAGCACTGGTACTGTATAAGTTTTCTACAGTACCAGTTTTTCCTTCCCACTGTCGCCAAAGTGCTTGCTCATAGGGGGTCATATGATTGTTGGGATTTTCTCTGTATCTATTATTGTAGAATCTACTGTACAATATAAAACACCTTGAGGCGACTGTTGTTGTGATTTGGCGTTATATAAATAAAATTGAATTGAATCTTGAAAATTGATGACTATGTCATAAATTGCAGGGACAAGGTTAAAAACTTGGGCGTGTGGTTCGACATGGCGCTCTCCTTCGAGTCTCATGTAAAAGAGACAACAAAGACCGCCTTTTGTCATTTGAGGAACAAAGCTAAAATCAGACAAGTTTTATCAAACTACACTGCAGAGGTTCTTCTCCACGCATTTGTGTCTTCGCGTATCGATTATGGTAATGCTCTCCTTTCTGGGCTACCAAAGAAAGGTTTTAGAGGTTTACAGATGGTGCAAAATGCAGCTGCTCACATTTGAACTAAAACTGGAACATTTGAGCACAATACCCCTGCATTGAAATCACTTCATTGGCTACCTTGTGAGGTTCGACAGATTTTAAGGTCCTGCTGCTCACCTACAAGGCTTTAAATGGTTTGGCACCTTCATACCTCTCTGATCTTTTGAACCCTTATGTTCCATCCCATGCTCTCCGATCCCAGGATTCTGGTCATTCAAAAGTTCCTAGAGCCAGAAAAATAACTATTGGGGGAGCGTGCTTTTTCCTTTTCCTGGGAAATTGTTTTGTGGAACAACCTCCCTCAAGATATTAGTGGAGCCTCTGTGGAGGTTTTTAAAGCCAAGTTGAAGACCCACTAGTTCACCCTATCCTACACATCTTAATTATTGTTTTTAACTTTTATTGCTATGCATCACTTTTATTTATTTATTTATTTTTAAATAGCTGTACAGAACTTTGTCTGAGAGCACTTCATAAATAAAGTTCTTCTTCTTATGTTTTTGTTTCTTTGTTTTCTGTTTACTTTTTTATTTTGATTAGAGAAAAGGTGAGCCTAGGTCCTATTAACCTATAACAACTGTGATACTTGCTTCTACTAATAACACTCAGCTTACTGGACGAAAATAACGCATTTTTTCAATCAATTCATCCAATATAACTCCATAAGTTTACTGATCTGACTTGTTCCAAACACTCAGTCTAAAATAAGAAGATAATAATATAAATACATACCTCACAGTAACTGCACTTGTAGAGTTACTTTCTGGTGTGGATCTTTTGGTGTCTTCTCAGGTAACGTGGAGATTTGAAAGTCTTATCACACAGGTCACATTTATAAGGTCTCTCCTCATTGTGGGTAAATATGTGTTGTTGTAACTGTACATCTCTTGTAAATAGTTTTCCACACTGATCACAGAAATAAACATTATGTCCAGTGTGACTGCGTAAGTGTACATTTCGTGACTCTATACGGTGGAATGTTTTTCCACAAAAATCACAGCTGTACGCTTTACTTCCAGAGTGGGTAACTTGATGACGCTGCAAGTACGTACTGTGAGCAAAAGCTTTACCACACTGATCACAGCTGTACGCTTTAACTCCAATGTGGACGAGTTGGTGTCTTTTTAAGCCTCCAGGCTGGGTAAAAGATTTTCCACACAACTCACAGCTGTACGGTTTAATTCCACTGTGGATGAGTTGGTGTGTTTTCAGGTGTTCAGCCTGGATAAAAGATTTTCCACACAAGTCACAGCTGTACGCTGTAATTCCACTGTGGATGAGTTGGTGTGTTTTTAAGGTTTTAGCCCAGGTAAAAGATTTTCCACACAACTCACAGCTGTACGGTTTAATTCCACTGTGGATGAGTTGGTGTGTTTTTAAGCTTCCAGGCTGGGTAAAAAATTTTCCACACAACTCACAATTGTAGGGTTTAACTGCACTGTGGATAAGTTGGTGTGCTTTCAGGTATTGAGCCCGGGAAAAAGATTTTCCACACAAGTCACAGCTGTACGCTTTAATTCCTCTGTGGAGGAGTTGGTGTGTTTTCAGGTGTTGAGGCCGGGTAAAAGATTTTCCACACAAATCACAGTTGTAGGGTTTAACTCCACTGTGGATAAGTTGGTGTGCTTTCAGGTATGGAGCTCGGGAAAAAGATTTTCCACACAAGTCACAGCTGTACGCTTTAATTCCACTGTGGATGAGTTGGTGTGTTTTCAGGTGTTGAGCTCGGGTAAAATTCTTCCTACACTCGTCACAGCTGTATTTCTTCTCCCCCTTTCTTCTGTGAGGTTTGTCGGCCTCCTGAGAGCGCT